CACACACACACACACACACACACACACACACACACACACACACACACACACACATACAGGATGTCTGACGATAAGTGTCCCAAATCTTATGTACACATAGATTAGATCAAACTGAACACATTGTGTTCACAATTTTGCAAACAACTACGTAAAATTTTGAGTTATTAATTAAAGAAGATTGGCAAATAATTACGCGTAATACAGCACATGAGCTGTGACAGCGACGCTTGCTGTTATATGGTTGTAGATTGGGTCAAATTAAATAAAAAAGTCAAAAAGTAGATTTTTTAGTTATTAGTTAAAGAAAATTGGCGGACGATCGTGCGTGATAATTTGTTAATTCTTTTTAATTAATAGCCCAAAAATTTACATGGTTTATTTGCAAGATGGTAGAGCACCTTCTTGTTCAGTCTGACCAAATGTACAAGCACATAATGCAAAATGTACATAATGCTTGTCACACTCTGCGTCGTATTCCACGCGATAATGCACGAATCTTCTCTAATTAATAACACAAAATTTTACGTAATTGTTTGCAAAATGGTAGAGGAACTTTTTGTTTAGTTTGATCTAATTTACACGTACACACGGAAATTCTATATATATCGTCAAATATTTGTATAGATGCATATATACATGTTGCAACAATCATGTAAGTCATAATAGACATATATTTGTGATTACTGCAATATATTGAGCGTTTTTGTACATGCGTTCAAAATATTCTTTTATGTATTGTATAAAATTGAAAAAATATTGTTCTATACATATGTACATACACGATTTTATAAAGGTATTCAAGAGTACAAAAGCATAACATATGCATAATAATCATGAATAGAATTTTATATCTTCATGCACAAATGTTGTTACAAATGCAAACAATGGATATATGTACAGTAATGTATGTTTCTTGATAATTTTTTACTACATGTAGTCAATTTTATAGTCACAAAGGTTTCACTATATGTTAATAATTTCATTGAATTATGTAAGTATATATACATTTGCAGTAATATAATTGACAAAATATTTAAAAAATTAGCAAAAAGTATAGTTTAATTATACATACACACACACACACACACATTTCTCTTCTATTTTGTATATATAATTTTAATTTTTAGAAACATTTAATAAGAACTCCATAAGTTTTATAAGAATTTGCATAAGAAAATATTTTTGGGAGTTAAATAGGTATTATCTAAATAAGAGATATATCATATCTCAATACTCTATTTTACACAAAGAATTAATTCATTAGAACAATATATACGCTTATTAACATCATAATTAAAAATTGTTTAATTAGTGCTTACATCTATTTCATTAAACTACTCAGAGCACATATCTATATGAACAAATGATCCAAATTTTATCCTTAATTCTTACCTTGTCTTTCTTGTCTTGTCTTGCATAGGGAAAACAAGGAATAACTGCTGTTACTCGGGATGCTGAAGCAATTTTGCAAGCATTGATCATGATCAGGAGTTCCATCAGATTGTCATTCACCTCACCGCTTCCACTTTGCACGATATACACATCCTCTCCACGGACAGATTCTCCTATCTCCACGCTAAACATACATAAATTATATGCATTTTTTTGTAAATATTATAATAACAAAAGTGTTATAACATGAAATAAACTAGTATTCTTAAGCAATTAAAAAAATTAAATAAAATTATTGATTATAAGACTATATTACTTTTCACAAATATAAAAATGAATTAATATCTCATTATTCACATGTTCATGTAATGTAATATAATATGTTATGTATATGTATATAAATATATATAATATAAATATATGTTGTATCTCACTTTGCGACGAAAAGATACGTTTAACAGAGATATTTTCATTTCTGCTATCGATACACTTTCTTCACATATTTCGGCTCTACGTACGAACATACTCGCGACTTCATGCAAGCACGTGTGTATGCTGCAGACTCAGCAAAATTTAATATTAGCGGTGCACGTGATCCCGCTTGATTCGCATCTGCAAATGTTGCAGCACAGATTTACGCTGCTAGCGCGCGACCGTCGAATTAAACAACGCGGCTGAACGCGTGGACGATCGACCTTGCGCGACAGGGTTGCTCCGACACGTTCACGAGTGTCCGAGGGGGATGTTAGAACGGACTGATTGTGCAAACGCGATGTAAGAAACGCGCGAAACGTGGCGGTTTAGGCACGAGCAGTATCAGCAAACGAGGATTACGCGATGCACGTACAATGACACGTGGTCATAGTTAAGCTCTCATTAAATATAATGACAATAACGTGGTTACGGGCCCGCGGTAATCGCCGACCATTACCATGTCTCGAGGTTGCTGAATTTCTTCGTGACAACTTTGCCGATGTCGATGCCAAGCCGATCCACGATCCGCTGGGCCAGGTCGGGGTGCGAGGTGCCGCTGAAGACCTTGATGTTCGGCATCCTGCTCTGCAACGCTCTGCCGCGTGAATTTTCCAAGTTTGCGCGTAACAAACTCTTGGCACGCACTGGCTGCGACACGGGCATCACTGAAACAGAAACCACCGAGCGGTCGGCCAATCGGTGATCGCGCTCAATACCGGACGTGACGTCGCCGAATTACGCTCCGCCTACACGCGCGACTCGAGGTATCACAACCGCGCGAACGACGCTTCTTTATCGCACCCGGGTCCTGCTTTCGGTTTCTCGTGCTTACGAACAAATAGTAATCTCCGATAGCTATCGCGGTTCACGCGGCCACACGAATCACCAATTGCGACGTCGAATGTCGACCGGACATGTTCCACTCTCTGCCCCCACCACCCCTTTCCTGTCGTTCTCACTCTCTCTCTCTCTACCTCTATCTCTTTCTTTCTCTCTTTTTCTCTTTCCTTCTCTCGTGACGGAAGACGCTCTTGCGCCGAAGATCAATAATAAGCGAGGCGCGAGCGTCTTCGCGCGGTCGTCTTCTCGGTAGGTAGCTTCGCCGTGGAGCGCTACCAGTTTCTACTCATCGGACTTTTTGCTCGTCGCTCGGCTCAGCCAGTCGCGCGCCGTCTGCACCGGTACGCGATGATGCCTCTTCTCCGTCCACGATCTCGCAACGAGCGACCGTCCACGTGCTCTCCCCTTGCCCGGCGTTCCTTATGCGTCCAACTCACGCGAAACAACACCGCAACCTGAAAGTTCTCGACTGGCGCGGCAACACGTGCCGCCCTTATCCCGCCGTAATCGGGCCGTTAAATCGCATTAACCGGAGGGGGAATAGCAGGGTGATCAGCGTTTCGGACGAGACGCGGGTGTGCGGTACGGCGAGGCGACCGTCGCGCGGCGCGACGTGAACCTAGACGAAATTCAAAAGGCGCGGGCGCGAGCCGGTGACAGTCAACTTTTGCTATCAAATGTGGCGCCGGCGGTGATCGAATGGTAAATTGCATGTGTACGTTATACGAGAGAGCGCGAGTCTCTGGACACGGCCACGGGTGGTTAGGTGCGACCACACTGTACGGCAGCGCAGGGTGACGGGCGAAAATCACGTAGGGCGCATCGTCACGCGTAAAAACGCTCAACGCGACTGACGCACGACGTGCCCACCGTTCATTCATCCGTGCGACAATGACAGCGTGCTGCTAACCATTCTGACGATTCCGGAGCCATGGCGAACATCGCGGCGCAGCGAATCAAACGAGAATTCAAAGAGGTTATAAAGAGCGAGGAGGTGAGTGAGTGAGCGAGCGAGCGAGCGAGCAAGCAAGCAAGCAAGCAAGCGAGCGAGCGTGCGAGCGAATGCTGCGCGGTACGCGATGCAGCCCGTGGAACGAAGGGGGGACCGAGCCGTTCCTCTCGATAATAATGGGTGAAATCCGCGTGCGTGGTCGTCTCGCGAAACTCACGCACGACGTGATGTGCAAAACGCACGTCCGCGCGCTCCACCGACGGCAAATGTTGCCCGAACAAAGCCCGATCACCTGTTGTGTATCGTCTGGTCGACTGTCACCTATCTATGTTTGGTCTGGTTGATTTACTTTTGCTAATACCGACGCGAACAGAGCGATAGGAAAACGTATTAACGGTCCTTGACTGACTCTGTCTTCGAGACGCTCGGCTGTGTTTCCGTTGCTAAAACTCTTGTTTTTGTTTCTTCTACAATAAATTATGTTTATGTAGTTATATTTTCTCTCTTTCTCTCTCCCCCGTGTATTTTACTTCAGCGAGCTGTGTAGCACCGCGTATTTTTCTGGACGACTACGTGTACCAACGTGTGCAGGCCGATAATTAGCGTCACTTTGCGTTACATGTCAACGACTTAAATAGACCGCATCGATACCGAATGTACTTACCGCGACGTCCTGGTTCCTGGCTGCAGTGAGATCCATGAGCAGCCTTGCACTTTTTCATATTGTTCATTATGTATATTCACTTTAACGATCGGCACGCTAAGATGCTCTTTCATATATCTCTAGACGGTTGATTTACGCCAGAGCATCACGAGTGACATACTATGGTAGTTTTATTAAAGATCGTTATGAAGGAGCAGAGATTATTCTTATCGTTTCATGGTGCCATAGGTTATGTTGATTATATGTTTATCAATCATTGGGAACGAATGACGCTTTACCACACACGAATTTTTTGAGGAATCATAGTTTAGCAATATATTTGTCTTTTTCATAGACTTTGACCCATGATTGTATAAACAGTATACCATTCGACTGAAAAACAAGTATCGCCTGTATTGAAATTGTCAGGAAACATCGCGTTGTTATTTATATTGTAATCTGGCACGTCCCTCTTTTATCTTCAGTTGTTTTTGTACCTCTGAAATATGTAACTTTTCCTTATTCATTTTTTTTATTTTGAAGCTATAGGTCTGTTCTTTTTAACTGAGCTGCTTGAACTAGTTATTATATTAGTGCAGATAGGTCAGCTAAAAAGAGTGAATCTAATGACTTCAATAAATGTTTGTTTACATTACATATCGTCTTTAAAAATTTAACGAATTCACTTTAATTTCATAATATATTTTATAAGCTATTTACAGTTTCGTTTATATGTAAGTATGTTTATTTTGCAGAAATTGTACATCCAAATTCTATATACCGTAATAAGTACAATGGCATTCTATTCTCTAATGTCTTGCTCATTTGATATCAACAGGTAGCAAAATGTGCGATTAAAGTTGAATTGGTCAATGATAGCCTTACCGAATTAAAAGGTGAAATTGCTGGTCCACCAGACACACCATATGAGGGAGGTAATTTTGTACTCGAGATTAAAGTACCCGAGACATATCCTTTCAATCCTCCTAAAGTAAGTAATTTCTGTAAAAGTATTTTTTTTTCTAAAAGATAGCATATTATCTGAAGACCAATAAATAGTTAATGTTTTGTTTTACATAAATAAAATTTATTTTACAGGTACGTTTTATAACAAAAATATGGCATCCTAATATATCATCTGTTACTGGTGCCATTTGTTTGGATATTTTGAAAGATCAATGGTATGTATCACTAAATATGTGTGTATTTAGTTAACAGTTTATTAACTTTAGATTATTACTTAAAATATTTCTTTTTTTATCTTGCTTTCATAGTACAATCGTCACACAAATAGCTTCATATCACTCATTTCCATTATAAATTACCTTTATCATTTGAGAATTTACATATCTATACTCTTTGTATATTTTTTAGTTTACTATCAATAACTTCATGTTTATAAAATGAAAAAAAGAAGGAATAAAATAGATTCTCTCTCTAATTTCATCTTCATTTTCATATCTAAGGGCTGCCGCAATGACTTTGCGTACAGTATTGCTGTCACTACAAGCATTGTTATCTGCAGCAGAGCCAGATGATCCTCAAGATGCAGTAGTTGCTAAACAGTATAAAGAACATCCAGAAATGTTTCGTCAAACTGCCACACATTGGACATTTGTATATGCAGGTGGTACGTAATATATTTTGTATGTATATTTATATATATACAATACACATGTATTCATATTATGTTAAAATATATGATATATATTCATTTTAGGACCAGCAAAAATACCTGATTTAGATGACAAAATAAGACGGTTAACAGATATGGGAATTGAAGAGCATAATGCGAGAGTTGCTCTATCTTCGTATAATTGGGATTTGGAACGCGCCACCGAGCACTGCCTCTTCAGTTAGTGATAACTGTATAGCTAATCTCTCACACATCCAAGCACCATTCATTTTGTCATTAAGAATTTTCTTGTAACATCATATTTGGATATTGATATCATAGTAATTTTACAATTGGAATTCAGCACTTATAATGACAATATCTCAATGATAAAAAGACACTACCAGAAAATCTATTCAATATCCACTAATAGTCATTTATTTAATTTGTAACATAGGCATGAAGAGAAGAAATAGTTAATAAAAAACAGCAATTATGAATCATTTAACTAAATTTCAAACATTTTGTGAGCAGTTTATTGTTCTACATTATATTCTATTGAAACTCGACAGTTTTTTGAGAACAAAAAAATAAAATCCTTTTAATGTAAAAATGTGATACAAAATTTAAGTCATATTCTAAATTGTTTTTCTTTTTATAAATTTATTTATTTTTAATATATTAAAATTTAAAAAAATACTTCATGTTTTCTTTAATTTAAAATAATGTAGAATATGTATCGTTTCGTCATCTTTTACGTTCCACAGTATATTACATATATTTGAATTGTATTAAGAATATTGGATTTCTAGCAAAGTTAGATATATATACATGAGCGAGATTGTCACAAAATCGTGATATTGATTATATTTTAAATGTTTTACTAAGTGTACTGATTATGGTTCTTGAAAATCCGTGAAAATTTATATCAGTTCAAACTTTGATTATAAGCTGCATATCCACATTTGCATTTACATGTTCGTACAACGTTTCCTGTTTTTTTAGAACAAAATAGACATCTGGGAATACATCACAATTTTATATATTGTTAAATCTATCGTAAATAAAAAAAATGCGAAACTATTTATAAGATTATAATGTATACGAAGAAATTCCGGATCTCTCTTTCATTTTGGTTTTTCACAATATATTCAGTAATTCCGTTGTTTTTATTAAAAAAAGAAAAATGTATGTTTGCTTGGGGCAAAATTTATAAAGTCTGAAAACTACCGAGTAATATGGTAATTACTAATTTATAACAAATCGATTTAAAAGCAATACTATTTTACATATGTGTGTAAAGAACTCTACTAATATTATATTGTTTTCGATAGATTGGACGATAGAAAAACTTGTAATTTGAATTAATATGATTGTACATTACTGAAATAGTGTATGGCGAATCATATTTGTAAAAAGATTTATAAATTTGTTTCAATGTTAATATTTTATTTTTGTATATTTTTGGTGTTGGTTCATACACTTGTGGTAAAATTGTTTATCATATCACGGATAAGTATGTGTCTACAAGTAGATATTCTTTTCATATTTATGTCACATACAGTGTACATTCCAAACTCAGGCGCATATGGCATTTATTTAACAGTCTGAATTAAATTTTGCGTTACGTAAGATTTAAATTATTATTGGAAAAAGTTAAGGTAAACTTCTTCTAGCTTATTATTTCCAGTCTTCATATTCAATGGAAACAAGATGATATAATATACTGATTAAGCAAGTTAACTTAAATCATAGAGCAAGAGTTAGCACAATTAGAATGAAGATGGGAATTTGATTAGCTCATTATTTGTACAATAATGTATATGGTGCAGAAAGGGATAGTTTTTTGTACAATCAAATGTTAAATCGTATAACTATAAAATGATAAAATCTTAATAATTTCGTCAATTTGTAGTTTTAATTTTTACAGACAACGTATTAGGTTTATGTCAATGGTTATTAGTCCATTGTAAAAATAAAGTTTGCTCTATTTTTTTTCTTTTTTTAATATTTAGCTCACAAAATATGATCTTACATATGAGTTTGTTCATTAATAAATGATAATCTGATACTACGTGTTCTTTGATGTTTTAATTGCTGTAATGTTTGATATCATGAAAAATAAATAGTTCTTTTTCCACATTGTTTTGAATTTATCAGAATCACGATAAGAACGATAATATTTGTTCCTAAAGCGTCAAAAGCTGTTCTGTGGCGATACAATAATAAATCCCGAAACCAGGACTACAGTGATGTGAATTGGATCTTTTGTAAAGTGTAACAAAGTGTAAACTGAATTCAATCCATCAGGTGCTATTATCTATAGGAATGCACATAAGTGCAAGAAAATATGAACGCATTATAGAATAATAAAATATTATTGTTATAAATAAATTTTAGAGGTAAATTTATTTTGTCTTGAGGCAAGTTTTTAAATATAATATCAAAGTACAAAAAGAGAGAAATATATAGAAGAATAATAATAATTCGTTTTGTCATAATGCTACAATTATTTTGTATATTTTTTTAAACTTTACGCACATCCTATTTGTCCATAATTATATAATCTAACTTTATTTGTGGAGAGATTTGCTAACAATAAATCATTATGGACTGTAAATGAACATAGGTCCATAACAGGATCTGATACTGGAAGTATTTGTAATTGTTTGCCGCTTGTGACACTCCATATTGATATATTGCTGTTTGCTTCTTGATGTGCTGCTACTAATGTATCATTCTCCGTATATATATGACATGGTCGAGATAAAAGTCTTTGAGAATTACCAGCATTGAACGTATGTACAACGCTACACATAATTATCTCTTCACTTCCTCTTTCAATGGTACACACTGCATGTCTTGCGTGTGGTTGTCTAGCATTCGGACGGGAAGATATAAGGGCGTGCTTGCTTTTCTCATCATAGCGCACCGAGATAAAGGGACCTTCTAAGAACACTTGTTTAGGTAAATAACTGGCATTCTTAGATTCATATACATAACACGTATTCAACCGACATGCTATAAATCCGCCTCTACCAATACCACTACCAGGATTCGGCTGTACTGTTGTCATAGATACAACTGGTGATTTATCACTTTGACCATCCAATGTGTCTACGGGACTAGAAATCTGTCTAATATCAAACCGAGTAATAGATCCATTTTGAGCACCAACTAGTAAAAGATTCGAGTTATCACCTGACCAACAACAACTCCAAAGTGGGCTTTCTGTTTTGAATGTATGTAGTATCATATTATTTTGAACGTCCATTAACTTTGCACACTTATCAAAGCCGACACTTAGGAGAAGCGACGGTTGCATAGAATGAAACTTTATATCTCTTATAGCAAGATGGTGTAAAAAAATTAATTGCCACGCTTGGAAGTTCATAGGATCAATTTTCCTCACGCCATATCCACTGAATAAGGCGTTTGATTCTGTCTTTTGAGAAACGAACAAAACCTTGTACCATGGATTGTAATCTAATACACGACAATCGCCGTTTTTGTATATATCTATAGATCGTTCTAGGTGGAACTTCCTAACGGAGGAGCCTGATGCAGTTTGATTTATATAAGTATTGATTTCTGTTTGTTGGTTTTCCAGTTCGGCAATACGATGTTGCAAACTGGCCACTTTTTGTTCATATATTTTCAGGCGAATGTTACATTGTGACAATTCCGTTTCTTTCTTGTTCTTCTCGGTTGTGACATTATGTAAGTCCTTTTTTATTTTCTCTAATTCGCCAGTATCCCTTGACGACAGTTTTCTTGCATACAAAAACCTAATATGTTTTACTAAAGCTTTCTTGTTGCATTGTGGACAACGTCGATTTGTGCTCACGGAACATTGTAACCATTTCAAGATACAACTATGTCCAAACAAATGTCCACATCGTAAGCAACATAAACGGTGATCTCCTGAACTAGTCCACTGTTCCATGCAAATTGGGCATATTTGGTCAGAATCTTCAACATTTGACTCATTCATGCTCACATCTGCTTTATTTTCTGTGGATTTAATTTTGTTTAATTATAATACATTTATATTTATATAAATCTAAAAAAATATGGAACATTATTATAGTACAAACGTACCTTCTTGTGAATTTGTAATATGTGTATGCTTTTCAACAGTATTTTGTACATTGTTATCGTTAGGAGGATTCATGTGTATTTCCCCATCTTCCATTTCCTCTGCTTCTTCTGCTTCTTGAGCTTCTTCTATTTCTTCTGCAGCTGCTTCTGTAGCTTGTCCTTCTATTTCCATTGTAACTTCGTCTAATAATAATAAGACAATATTATCATAAAATGTGAGATTGTAATTTGAAATAAACAGAATATATGAAATATATAATTATATTATATACAAAAATTTGTATAATTACTCTTATGGAAAATTAGAAATTGGTATTCTTATTTAGAAATTCTTTGATTGATTTGAATTTAACTTTAGCAATAATATCAAGAAAAACTATAATTTTTAGTTTAGTTTAGTTATAAAACTATAAATTTATAGTTTTTAATATTAAACACTTTTACAATTTATCTTTAAATTATTCACCTATTAAAATAAAGTTTATCTGAAATAAAGTTAAATATAAATATCTGACCATTTGTTCATAGTTTTGAAACTTAGTTTCTAAAAAAACTTTTGCTCTTAATTGCTTTTCAGATAATAAAAGATAAAAAATCTCTTAAAAACTTCAAAGGTATTGAAAAAACATCTATAGAAATAAAACGTCTTTTAAATATCTTTAAAAAATTTGTTGGAAGCATTTGCTAGATAGGTTATATACTATCAAAATGTATACACTGATATTTTCTGATATTTCTGTTAAAGAAAATTTCGAGTAAGTCAAAGCATTTCAAGTGAGCTAAAGAATGAATAAGATAATCTATCAAGCTTTAGAGACACACATTTCACTTATTTTTCTAGATATTCTTTATATTACTCACTACCTTCCATAACCTTTATCTTGTCTTCGATATATCTTGAAAGTATTCATACAATATGAAGGACAAGTTTATTGTGTTTCTTTCATCTTCAGGACAAATTATTCTGGATCTATCGTTGTATTTGTATTATAACAACTTAACAAATGTTGCATTACTAGAACTTTACAAAAGAGTCGTATGTTTACAGATCCGGTACTTCCTCCGTTTTTCTACTGGTCACTGGCTTAATCGGTCGATGAAATCGTGTGCACGAGACGAAAACTAATTATAAGTGACTCGTTCAATTAATTTGAAAAATATAGTTTCGTTTATCCCGTGATCATATGTATATTTGATAAACCCTTATAAATTATTTCTTGTGGCTGTTTCTTTTTCTTTTTTGCCATTCTTTCCGCTGTCTTTCGTAATAGTTTTTTTTCTGACTAAAGGCCGGTTTATGATAGCCGTAATCCGTTAACTTATGCCAGAACCATAAAAAATTGACCAACCATAGTCGAATTATAGAAGAATAATCGACTGTGATTGACCAATTTTTTACAGTTCCGGCATAAGTTAACGGATTACGGCCATCATAAATCGGTCTTAAATCACCGTACCTTCAGCCTTTCCCGAGAATATTTATGGTTATTTGGCACACTATCTTTTTCTTTCAATATATTTTCTCTTAATCCTTTCAAATCTCTGTTCTTAAATATTCCTCGGAAATAATTCCAAGGAATTATTTTATCGACGTTGTTTTCATCGACATTATTTTAACAACTCTATTTTGCTAATGTTGAGTTTCAATATGACAGTATATATACTCACAAGATAGCACAAGATTTAAAAGATGTCCCAAAGACATTCAGAGGATTGTTAAGTGACTTATGACGCATAAGTTCAGAACATCCTAAAAATATTTCGAGGACTTCTAAATATCCACACAAGTTCCCAAGATATCCCTTCAAGATCTTATACTATAAAGATATACACTGACATATATGTGTGTACACGTCAATATGAACATTTCAGCGACGTACATATCGTGAAAACGTTAAAGCGGAATGTGTCGGTTAACAACGTAATTTTTACTTTCCAAAAAAATCATTAATCGTGCTTAAACACGTCTACACACTGCGGTATCTAAACTGGTATCTAAACCGAAAGTTCCCCATAATAGAAGGAGCAATCTTTGGTTAGTATTTATAATATATATGTATTGTGATAATATTCATAAAAATATATGCTCACACAGCAGAGGTATCCAAACATATCATAGAGATATCTTAAAGATATATTTGGAATATACAATATCTTCAAGATATCCTCATGATATATTTAGGACATTCCTGCTGTGTGGATATATATATATATATATATATATATATATATATTACAAAAAAAATAAAAAATAATTGAACGTAGCGTACGCAACGATAAGAATTTTCTGAAGAATTTTGAAGTGAGTACAATATACGATATTGACATATTGTACATGTGATAAAATTCCAATAGTTTCATGTCTAATATGTTATATTTTGCAGCTTTTTTCTAAAATAATACTTTCGAAATATATTTAAATTGCCGGACGCAATTTGACGATATACCGTAATTCTATCTCGAGATACAACGAAGAATTCGTAAGGTTATTCGCATTACATACGTGTATACTTCGCAAGATCAAGCAAAACGGTGTAGACTCGAAGGTAAAAATATGAAGGTAAAATTAGCGTGTACCTACCATTACTAAATAGAAAATCTTTTTATAAAAATTTGTGCATTCAATTCTTAAAAGTACTCGTATATACTCGATGACTTACTCCGTTTTATTGTAATATAAATATAATATTATTATATATATGTTGTAACAATAATATAATTATATATATGTTGTAATAATAATATAATTTTATTGATGTACAAGGATATCGTAAAATATAGATAAATAAATCAATGAGAAAATATTCCAAAATTTGCTCCTTTTGCAGAAGCGACGGCCGTGGGCAAGAAACTATTCCACTCCACAAAGACATTCCTGTACGTATGAACGTTTACAGACCAGGGAAAAAAGAATCTTTAACTTAAAAAGACGAGGTTCAAGATGGAGTAACCCTAAACTTCAAGAAAACAATGGACAATTTGACAATGATTCACGCTTGAAGAAAGACGCGTTTGGCTCACTGGAATCTCTTTTTGATATAAGGAAACCTTTGAATTTGCTAGATGTGTATCAGATAGCATTCGATTACTGCAACGATAAGTCAGTCGAAAGAAAATCAATTGACGCGTTTGATGCCATTAAATCAGAACCGCTTGTAGAAACATTATTCCTTCAATCTCTTTTACCAAGCGTAAATTCCGAACCGCGTGTCAATGAGCCGATAGTACGTTACTATGTAATAAATTATTACTAAATTACTTTGAATCCATGAACTAACATATTAGCGATTCGTAAATCATTATCGATAGATTAGCTTAGATCGATAGATTAGACATAAAGACAACATATTTTTCATATGTTTCGTAGTATTATAAATTTTACAGCACTTTGAAGGAAAAGAAAATATTAAAGTTACTGAACTAAAAGCAAGCGAAAGATCACACACGGAAACGTCTGATTTTGCGAGAAAATTACAGCAGAACACCTCGATTTATAACAAAGAAAATTACACAGTGTAATAATTTATTTATTTGAGTATATTTCATGCTTAATATATTTGAATATATTTCATGCCTATTTTCATTCTTAATAGTCGATAACGTAAAAAGTTAACCATACTTTTGTAGAAATATGGCTACAGTATTGCAAGAGGGTGAAATTCCAAAAGAACAGCAGGAAGAAGTCGAAGAAAAAGCAGAGGAAAAAGTAGAGGAAGAAAAAGGGGAAGAAAAAGAGGAAGAAAAAGAGGAAGAAAAAAAGGAAGAAAAAGAGAAAGAAAAAGAGGATGTTGCTGGAGCACTTGAAGAAAGCAAAGATATCAAAGATGAAGACTCGCAAAAAAAGCTACCCTCTTCTGTCGTATCTGATATACTAGGTATACTATAGTATCTAATATTTTAATTAGATAACCAAACATTCCGTTTTTCGTGGAACAGTTCCGGCTTTCTACCCTTTGTAGAATTTTACCGAATTTTTTCAAATGCTATCCGAGATGCCGATTTAGCCAAAATTCAGTCAGACTGTATTTATTCCGCTTTATCCCGGTTTAGAGGAATCTTAAAATAGTTTTGACAAAGAATCAAAAAAATTCACAGCTCTGGTAAATGCAGCAGCTTTGCTTCTTTTTCTTAATTTTAAGTAAGGATAACGACTGTTATATCTTAGCAATAGTTTCTATTTTATTTTAAACGACAGATTATATTGTTAACCGATACATTTCGCTTTAATGTTTTCACGATATGTATGTCGCTGAAATGTTTGCATTGACGTGTACACATACACGTCAGTGTATATACATACTATCATATTAAAACTCAACGTCAGTAAAATAGAGTTATTAAAATAATGTCAATGAAAACAACGTCGATAAAATAATTATCGGCTGCAAAGGATCTTATAACAGACGAGAACTTCATTTCAGACTTGATGGATATTAATATAAACAATACTCGGCTAAAAGTTGAAATCGAACGACTGCAGCGCGAAATTGATCATTTAAAAACGGTAATACTCCATCATCTCTTGTAATATTATATTCTAGAAAATATATTATTATTAATGTGTAATTTCTAATTATATATTTCTTACACACACACACATACACGCGCGCACGCGCGCGTGTATGTGTGTGTGTATATATATATATGTGTCTATGTGTATATATAGAAACATGATCAACCAGGAGTGGATGCGCAGCTGCAAGCAGAGAAAAAAGCCCTTGAACGGAAAGAAATCATATTCAAAACATCGACGTCTACATTTTGTAAAAAAGTAATTTTAATAGATATATTTAATAAAATAGATTACATATTTACTTAAGACGTAATCATATACTTGTGGAAGAACTTGATGCACATAACTCAGTAATAATACTTGTTAACGAAATGAGAAATAATAGCAGAATCATGAAAAATAATATGATAAATATATTGCAGATGGAAGAGATTTTAGATATACCTTATGATGAGTTGTTTGAACGCTATGCAACATTTTTTACCAAGAGAATTGAAGAGGAAGTTGAAGAGGAAGTCGAATTTCCACAAATAGAATATCCTGAGGATAAGTAAGCTATATTTCCATCATAAAAACTTTGCCAGCTTATTTAACATGTGGGCAATCGCGTATAAGTTGACATTTCTTTTTAATAATGACGAATTTCATAGTTTTTTTAAATGTTGCACGACGTATGTTACTAGCGTATATATATGATCAGCGACCCACGTGGCCTAAATATCACGTGAAATTGATGTGACACGCAAACGTGTTAACATATTTTTAACTATTTATGTATTTTTATCGTGAAATCAGGCTGCCGAGAATAATCATATGCGGCCGCAAGGAAAATATGTTTCCACAAATTGTGATAGCGGACAGTAAACAGATAGAAACAGGGGAACGTTACAAACGTTTAGTTAGCCAGGGAAGGGAGGCTATGAAGAAATCACAGAAACTGGTTTTTGAAGATATCACACAGGAATGGTCTAAGTATGTTCGTTTCTCGTACGCTATAAAATTCTAAACATTTTAGAGAATAAATAGTTTTAATTGGAAATGCGCATTAATATGAAAAAAATTACTTTTAAGTACTTGTATCTATAATTAAGGAACAGCAGGTCTATATTACGATCATCTTTTTCGAAGCACTCAGTATAGAAGATTCTCATCACTCGATAGTTATTTATATAGCGAATAATAGAAGGGCGAATAAATGTTTGAAAGTTATATGGTTTCCTCGGTAACGATATCACGATGTTTTTAGCTGAAGCCTATTAATTATACGTCACTTATGTATAATCTCGTGACATGCCAATTTCGTAGCAATGATTTAAATGTTATTAACTATTTTTTCTTTGAAAAATTATTTCGCAACACATTTCAATTGAATTTTGTCTCGTCTCGTCAGATTTTAGAATAAAACGGATGAAAGGTCAGCACTGTATGCTAAGTTGTGCTATCCTGCAAACAGGTACAAACTAGAAAAAGCTTTGCTAGAGAAGGATAAAACCATTGAGAAATTAGACAGGACTATATACAAGCTGAAAGCGGAAATGCACATGATCGTCAGAGAGAATAAGAAGTTAAGAGATGAAATAGCTACTTTGAGTGAGGATCCTTATCGTGAAATCAGTCCTTACCCTAGTCCGCAACGTGAACTTTGGTCTGACGATCCAACTGGTAACTAATGCACTCAATTAATATCACGTCAATATAACCGCATTCTTATATCAGTACACTGCGACGATGCGATTTCTATCAATACAACTGCTACTTCCATCAGTTCCATGATTCACTGACCTTTGATCACTGCGATAGCTATAGGATGTGTTCTATATGATATCGTTTAATTTTTGGTCAGTTCAGTCAACAAGTCTGTTATGAAGCATATTATAAAAAATAACGCATTAGAACTTTGAACATCTTGTGCTATGCTAAGAAGTACAAGATATTCGTGCAACGAATTTTCACGAATTGACGAAGTAATATGCACATTTGCAGGTTCGCCGAGACTTACTGGAGGTGGATCGGCAACAGACACTCCCAATCTCGAATATAATATTCTGCAAAACGTTAAGATGTGTACGCGAAGTGTTATTCTTACAAAAGCATCGCTTCCTCAAGAAACATGTTCCTTGGTGAGAATTGCTGAATAAACTCACGATTTGCGACACTAGTGCTAAGCAGCTAGTGAGAAGAACTGCAAATCGTTTTATTCCTTTACACTGCTATTATCGAGCAATGTAACTCTGCATCAAACATATATATGTCACGCATCTCTGTATATCTTTTAAATAATGGAAAATCATGTCTCCTTGCTCCTTCACAGTGTCAATAATCAGAATTTTATTACACGAGTAGTAAAATGACAAAAATAATATACTTGTGTCCTGTAAAAGATTAAAAAGAAATAAAAAATCAGGTATATGACACTATGTTATTCCATCACTTCAGGAACAGCAATTAGGAAGTATGGAGAGTGATGTCCGCAACATGCAGATGCAATTGGCGAATGTGAGACGAGAGCAGCAGCAACTGAAGCAACAACGTAATTTACTCAAATGTACAGGACCTTGTGCATCGTGTGCCTGTTCTCCTCTGCCTGCGACGTGCGTGACAGTCTCAGCGTTAAAGTCTATTTCGTCGAAAGGATCTACTATACCTGCGGTGTCTCCTACCAAAGTACATGTGTATACGATTCTTCGAATTACTTTCTTAAACAAAAAAATTTAGGGCCGATTGTTCCAATTTCTTGATAAGCTATCTGAGTTAAAATCATGTGTCTTATCTTTGTTTCTGTAATTTAAAGATAACACGAAGACAGACATATGATTTGACTGTCAAATAGCTTACCAAAAGGTTGAAACAACCGGCCCTTATGAATAACAAAAATATTTGTTTACAACGTAATTTTTTTTTAATGCAGATGATTGCGCAAGCTGTATCCCCAAAATGCACTAGTCCTTGCACGAACATACCTATGGTACGACCGTAGCTTAAGGAAAATGTTCTCAGAACGCATTAGATAATCATAGTAATAAATCTGTGACCAAAGGGTACCAGCACTTGCGCTCAACAACAATTACGCGACCTTCGCGAACAATACGCTCGACTGCAGGAAGATTATAAAAATAAGTTGTACGAGGTATCATGCATGAGAACTGACGCGGAGAAAATGAAGCAGGATTTGCGCGATGCAAAAGAGGAGAAAGAACGGGTAGAGATAAAGATGATAGACGTTCAAGAGCGATTGAGGTTCTTAGAAGAGGAAAGGGGAAATTTCGAAGGTAGATTTCTATAAAATAAAAGTAGCATATATTT